GGGACATTCGAGGAAACCTTGAACAATGACCGTTTTGCTGTATACATTTGAAAATGAGAAAATATCATTTCGCCTTTTAAATTTTTACGTATTTTTTAATTTGATCATGAAATTTCAATTAATATCAATTTTACATCTAAATTTTTAAAATTTTGATCAATTTGTCTTCTGCCATCATATTCTGTCAACAATTGAACGAAATGTGTTGACGTGGGGGGCAAATTGATTTTTAAGGTACAGTTTGAGGGGCAAATTGATTTTATTTTTTTGAGGGGAGGGGGGGAAATTGATTTTTAAGATGCATAGTTTGAGGGGTAAAATGAAATTTCAAATGAATTTTGGTGTTATTTCAGCACATTCCATCCAATTGTAGACGAAATGGGCCAAATTAATTAAAATTTCAAAAATTTGAGTGTAAAATTAATATTAATTGAAATCTGCCGGTCGAATTGTAAAAAGCACATAAAAGTTTGGATAGTAAAATGATATTTCCGTATGAAAATTCTAGTTAAAGATATAAACAACGACATTTTATTATTACCAATGAGCAAGGGTAAATGTCAGGACACTTTCTTATATTTTTTTCTTCATAAAATTACGCAGAATGATCCATTCATACTTGATGGAGCTCTACACACTTCAAGACGAATGTAGCAATTTTGTGCACTTCCCTGTAGATAATTTTTTTATATTTGTGGCATAATTGAACGCTATGATAGCAATTGAGTACTAGTGATAATTTGTAATTGGTTCTTGTTCTTCTTGACATGACCAAAACTTGGACATTGACATTGATTGGAGCTAAGCTTCACTACATGCTCTTATAGGAACTAAAAATTATTTAGTGAAATTAGGTATTGTTTTTTTTTAAACTCCGGGAAATTAGGTATTGTTGTAATAACATTTAAGATCACATATTTGTATAAAACTCATAAAAATGTGTAATCTAAATATTATCAAGACAGTAATATCCCAATGGCACTATAAATTATAAGGTTTGAGTGCACATATGGCATGTAAATGGAAAATAATTTACAAATATAAAATTTATATAAAAGGTATATTCAAAATGACGGGTCATTGGTATTTTTGAAAAACATAGGATAGTGGTAGGTGTTTTAATTGAAATTAAAGAAACGATAAGAAATTATACATTTTCCTACATAATTTATTTATGGGGTCTTACTAAAAAGTGACTTTGGTGTACAAGAAAAAGAAAAAGAAAGAGAAAAAGAAAAGAGGAAATATCATTTTGCCTTTCAAATTATCACGTGCTTTTCAATTTAACTCTCATATTTTGATTTATTTTAATTTAGTACCTGAATTTTCAACAAATTGATCAATTTAACCACTACCGCCTCATTCCGTCTACAATTAGACAGAATGTGCTGACATGGCACCGAAATTCATTTAGAGTCATTTTACTTTGCAAACTATAAAATTTTTAATAAATATTAAAAAATTAAATTTAAATATTTAATAAATATTTTTTTATCTCAATAATAAAAAAAATTAAATTTTAAATAATATGTACTTTGCAAAAAAATAATAAAAAAAATATAAAAGTCCTCATTTAGAATTATCTGAAACTATGAAATATGGATTTTTCGACAAACATGTCGTACCCGTACCGGTTACTTAATTTTGAAAAAAATTTCGCACTCAATTTTGAAATTACCATTAGTCGATCAATTCTATTGAAATTAATTTGGGTAATAAACTAGTTATAATTGAGCGCGCACACACACATAGAGTAGTCAAGAAATTTTCGGCTCAATAAGTTTCTGTAGGATCAACTCGAGATAATTTGAGACTTATAAAGCACAAGTATGGGTATGAGTATTGATATTGATATTGTGTGAGTGATTTTCTGATCACACTGCCCGTTTAGTAATCAGCTAGAGAGCACCGGCAGAATAGATGGCTTCAGCTAACCTGTAACAGAAAGAGAAGTCTCCGACGGTGGTTCTTCTACCCGGGGGCACTCCGACGATCAAGTCAGTATATCTCTCAAAGATAATCAAGTGCTAAACTCACTGCTCAAAGCATAAATTGCGTACCTTAAACCTACGGTGGTGCCTCTCTTTTTATAGTTAACTCAATCCTAGTCCCACTAGAAGCCTGACTTCTAGGGACTCCAATTCTGGACTTACCTTGGACTCTTCAAGAGATAAAGATAAACTCCCTAAGAGTTTTATCCTCATCTTGACTAAGTCTCCTCTTCATTCTTGGACTCTTGTCCCCTATCCACTTATATTGGATTCCGATATCTTCGGAGGAAACCTCGGCCTAACCGAGATTACCTCGGCACAACGACCAGGACACGTGGTTCCTCGGCCGACACGTCGGCGTCACCTTGCCACGTGTTGGTACTCAGAAAATATATCCCCACAACTACCCCCTAGGTTCTATTACCTCGGTATCCTGAGGTGATGGAACCTATATCGATATTTCTTCCTATACATCGGCTCAAGAACTCCTCAGCCGAGATCATTTATTTCAAGCCGACATGTTCTCTTCAGAGAACAAGAATTCCAGTGAACTCTTTCACGTGTGTGAACTGTCATGCATCATTTACTCAACCGTTTCATTCACACGTCTTCACCTCATTGGACCGTACCTATGACGCGCTTGCAAGCCGTCTTGCGTTTGTGTGCGCCGTCTGACATATGCGTTGTTCCAGGCGCATTCAATGCTCCGTTTTGCCGCCATTTCAAATTTTTGACAAAACCTTTTCCCCTTTCTTCATTTTTCACTTTTGCATTCGATTTCTCTTCGCTTTTCCTCTCTCTAGCTCCTGAATACGCCATTGTTCTAGTCCTCAAGCTCTGCAACTGCCTTCCTTTCTCCCTTCCTGTGAAGCTTTCGTCGTTTTTGTTACATCTGTAACTGTTGTCTGACTTCGGCAATCTTCATACCGGCTTCACTTTTTTCTGGTAAGCCACTGTTCCTTTCGTTTTTAATTTTGTTGATATTCTTCATTACTTGTTGCCATTATTGTTTCAAATCTTGCGAATCACATATCTGAACATATTTATTCAAATGGTTTTGATCTTGCCCATATCTTGAATACATAATGTTCACCACTTTCTTGCACTCTTGTTACTGTTCTTGACCCTTTATTTCTCGTATTCTTTATGCTCTTGATAGACCATCCCTGTTCTTGATTCTAAAGCACGTCTTTGCCTTTCTGTCTTCCAAATTCGTGCCTTCAACCCTTGCTTTCATAGATCTAGGTTTGGGATTTGTTGTGCAGAACCCATAATTTAGGAAAAAACTGAAACTAGTACTTTACCTAGATTTTTGCGAGGTCTTATTAACCCTCTCAAAACATTTTTTCTTTGAAATCCAACCCCTCTAATTCAGGCCGATATCATGGGTATGTGGAGACATAGGGTAGATACCCCGACCAAACTTGAGTACTTTAGGCAAGAGTTCTCTATCCCTACCAATGTCCATCTGAGGCTGGCTGGAGATAACGACTCCATCATGCCCACAGATGATTCGATGCCCTTTCCCATTGTAGCTTTCATAGAGTGCGGACTCCGGCTCCCACTCAACATCCTTTTTCGTGAGATTCTTCACTATTATAAGTTGAACTCCATGCAACTGGCAATTAATTCCTACCGAGTGATCAATGGCATCATAGCCTTAGCTAAACAGGAAAATGCTAGGATCACCCTAGCCGATATCTAGTATTGCTATACCATATGTGCTCTTAATTTGAAAGAAAAAGGCTACATTTATTACCTTAAGCCGAGGTCTACAGAATTCAAAATCGTAGCCGACCTCCCAGACTCAAACAAGGGGGCTGGAGATGACTATTTCATTACCTCGGGAAATTGGGAGTTTGCTCCAAACGAGGACATCCATCTCTACCCTCTTCCTCGATCAGTTTTAGAGGGCAAGGGTAAGAGCCCCGTATTCAGCTTTGCCTATTTTCTTTCAAAGTCTTACATATTTTGTCTGTTTCTGACGTCTGTTCTTTTTTGCAGCTGTTCATAAGCCACCAAAAAATTTTCGCCAATCCTTTGTTCCCAGCAAAGATTTGAAGAAACTTCTGTACTTGCTAGTCCATAAAAGGAAAGCTCCTGTGCCTCTTAATTTTATTCCAACATATAAGTCAACTTTGCCCGACATTCCCAAAGGAAGAAGAAAAGCCTTTCTCCACCCTCTGCTACAACTCCATTGACTGCATCCACATCACAAACAGATCAAGGATCCACATCCGATCCAACTGATCAGCCATCAACTTCGGCTCCATACCTTGTCCCAATATCAGAACGAAAACGTCGGTAACGACTTGTCCTTACTGCCGAGATGGGCCGCCCAAAACTAGTTGCAAAAGACCTCTTAGACAGCCTCCCTTCTGATGTTGAAACTCAACCAACACAAACCATGCCCCCACTGAAGCCGAAAAGAGTTAAAAAGGCTCAGCCAAAGGCTAAAGTAACTCAAGTTGAATCTGAGGATACTTTACCTATTTCCAAGCTGACTGAGAGTGACAAATCTCAACCCTCTACTGAGAAGAGGCCCTCTGAGCCATCAAAATCTCAAAAATCAAAGAAGCCGAGGTCAATCTCTGCAACGACCTCAGGGTCCAAAATACTAGACGTCCCCTGGGCACCTGAAATTACTCTAGAAGATAAGCCTGTTATGGCTAGTGATAGCGCCGATGACATCAATGTCGGTGTCGCCCTCAATGCTGCTCTACTTCTTCCAGGCGATCTTGACAAGAACGCCAAGATGAGCGAGTATGAGAACTACGCTTTCATGCTTCAACGTTCTATTCAAGTAAGTGTCTTCACTTGGTAACTTGTCTTTCTTTCTCCTTTTCATACTTGTAAAATTTTTCAAATAAATTTTGCCTTGTGCTTTTTCAGGCCATTTAGAATGCCCATTCTCTCTCCATGCAAGCCTTTGAAAATCAGGAGAAATTGGTCGACATGAAGAGGGAGTTTTCTGCCCTTCAAAAGGCCAATAAAATCCTTCAATCAAAAATGAAGAAGTTGGAGGATCAGGCTGAGGCTGCTATCAAAGCCCAGACTGAGGCCAAAGAGAAGGCCGATTCTGCCGAGGCCATAAAGAAGGTTGCTGAGTCCCAGAGAAAAGAGGCCAAAGAGAAAATGGCCCAGGCCGAAAAGGAGCTTCAAGAGGCCCTGGCTACTAAAGACGCCGAAATCAAAGAAGCTGATGAAAAGACGTACACTCAAGGCATGGCCGACGTTACTGAGGCTTATGAGCTTCAAGTGAAGCAGGCATGCAACAAGGGTTTCACCCTTGGTTGGATGTCTCTTTTGAAAAAACTCAATGTCCCTGATGATTCGCCTCTGAGGAATGCCGATGATATTCCTCTTCCATTCCCTCCACCTCATCCACCAGCTCAGTCCGATGAAGATTCAGAATCTGAAGATGAGGAAGAGGATGATGCCTTGGTGAGAAAAGTAAAGGAGGCTACTGCGTCCAAGTCCCCTCCCCAAAATGAGCAAGTCCTAGACTTAACTCATGACGAGGAGGTTGAGGAGGTTCCCAAGGATGTGATTCCTCTAAAGGTATCATCGGATTCACTTCTTGCTGATAAGAGTATTGATGAGACCCTTGCCCAAATTGATGCCGAGATCGCGGTGGAGAAGGCGGCCGAGGTATCTTCTCAGCAGTCCTCTGACGTCCAATCCCAGCCTGCTGCCGATGTTGGGGAATCTTAGTTTTGATGTCATGTCTTTTCTTTTCTTGTCTTTTGTTCTCTTGTACTTCTTTGTTTCTTTAGACGATGTAAGTTTTGCATATGGCCGATGTGCCTTTTTGTGAATGCTAACTCAACTTTCTTTTTCTGAATGCTTGCATCTTTGTATTCTTCTAACTGCTCTTGCATGAGTAAATACTTAGAATATTTTGTATGTCTTATGTACTCTTCCTTCTTTGTGCAATCTTCTCGGGGTGACACACTTCGGTTATGCCACCTGACGATTTACCTCGACAAGTACTTGTCCTGTAAATTGCTTACAAATTTCAATAAGGATTAACATATACTGTTTTAATTTCTATTTTGTAAACTTTTCTTAAGTTATAACAAGTGCCAAACAATGATTTTGGTTTAGCTTCAATTTGTAAATTGTTACAAATTTCAACAAGCGTTAAGCATTACTTCGGTTTATCTTCAACTTGTAAATTGCTATAAATTTCAGCAAGTGAAGATAAACAATAATCTTGGCTTAACTTCAACTTATAAATTGCTACAAATTTCAACAAGCGTTAAGCCTTACTTTGGTTTAACTTCAACTTGTAAATTGCTACAAATTTCAACAAGTGAAGATAAACAATAATCTCGGCTCAACTTCAACTTGTAAATCGCTACAAATTTCAACAAGCGTTAAGCATTACTTCGGTTTAACTTCAACTTGTAAATTGGTACAAATTTCAACAAGTGAAGATAAACAATAATCTCGGCTTAACTTCAACTTGTAAATTGCTACAAATTTCAACAAGTGAAGATAAACAATTTTGTCTTCTTTCTGCCCCTAATGTGAATCTGAGTTCCACTTGGGTTCTCATTATTCAGAAACAACATTATGCATCTTTTATCAATTCACAAGTCTTGGAGAATTCTGCTAAGATTTTATTGATGACGTCCTCAAAAAATAACAAGGAACATCTAATGATAAAAAAATTTCAAATTACAAGTGTTCCAGGGTCTTGGCAATGCTTTGCCCTCATAATCTTCAAGCTGGGATGCTCCATTGCCCAATACCGAAGTAATTCTGTAGGGTCCTTCCCAGTTTAGGCCAAGCTTGCCCTCTCTGGGATCCTTCTTGTTGCCAATAACTTTTTTTAGGACTAGATCGCCGACTTGAAAATCCCTAGGATTGACCTTCTTATTGTAAGCTCTAGCAAGTTGCTGATGGTATGCTGCGAGCTGAATTGCAGCTTTCTCCTTTCTTTCTTCTAAGAGATCCAGATCTCGGGCTAGAAGTATATTATTAGTCCCATTCTCTACTCCCTGGGTTCTGATCCCTGGGATGCCGATCTCCAGTGGGATGACTGCTTCTGTGCCGTAAGCCATGGCTCTCCATTTCGCCCCTGTTGATCTTCTCAGCGTAGTCCGATACGCCCAAAGTACGTTGGGCAACTCGTCCACCCACTTTCCTTTTGCTGCCTGCAGCCTCTTCTTTATCCCATCCAAAATTACTTTGTTGGATGCTTCTGCTTGCCCATTGATTCCATACAACTTGCCGCCATGGATGTGAAGTAATTCTTTATCTTGAATTTCGCACAGAAGTTCTTGATGAGTTTGCTGTCAAATTGCGTTTCGTTGTTGGCAACTATTGCTCTTGGAATGCCAAATCTGGTGATGATGTTTCTCCATATGAAGTTCTTGACATCCACATCTCGGATCTTGGCAAGAGGTTCTGCTTCTATCCACTTCGTGAAGTAATCTGTTGCTACCAGCAAGTACTTCCATTGCCCAGTTGCTTGGGACAACTGCCCAATGAGATCCATGCCCCATTGGGCATATGGCCATGGACTGGATACAGGGTTTAGGTCAGCGGCTGGCTGGTGTATCAAAGGTGCGAACCTTTGGCATTGTTCACACTTCTTCACGTAGGCTTCTGCATCTTTTTGCATGTAGGGCCACCACTACCCCTGGGTAATGGCCCTGTGAGCTAGTGATCTTCCCTCAGCGTGGCTTCCACAAATCCCTTCATGAATTTCATATAGAAAATCTTCAACCTGCAAAGGGTGTACGCACCTTAAAAGGGGTCTAGTGAAGGACTTCTGTAGAGATGTCCATCCGCTGTTAGATTAAATCTTGTCGACTTCAATCTGACCTTGTGTGCTTCCTTATGGTCTTCTGGCAGCTTTCCCTCTTTTAGGAATGCAACAGTTGCATCCATCCAGCTTAGTCCCAAGTCCACACACATTGCTTCTTATTCTGTGATCGGTGGTTCTATGCTCGGGCCTGACAAATAGTTAATCATTATTGTCCTTGTTTTTCTAGTTTGTATTGAACTTGCCAAGTTGGCCAACGCGTCGGCGTAGCTGTTATCATCTCGGCTAACTTGAAGAAGTCGACAGTTACGAAACAAGGCTGCCAGCCTGATGACTTCCTTTGCGTATGCCGACATTCTCTCATCTCGGGTTGCAAACTCTCCTATTGTCTGATTCACTATAAGTTGTGAATCACAAAAAGTTATTACCTCATCTGCTTCTGCTGCCACTGCCAGCTTTAGTCCTGCAATCAATGCTTCGTATTCTGCCTCATTGTTTGAGGCCTTGAACCCTAATCGAATGGACTGTCCTAGTATCTCCCCATCAGGAGATATTAACACTACTCCTGCCCCCGCTCCTTGCCCGTTTGAGCTCCCATCGACAAACAGGCGAAAGGAGTCACCGATGTAAATGCTGCAGGGTCTGAGTTTTTTCTTTCTTTATTCTTTTGCCTTTGGCTAGGCTTCTCCTTGTTTGCTTGGACATCGTTCATCTTGGCTCAATAGAGCCCGATGTTCGATGGATTCTGGCGTGAATTCGGCCACGAAGTCGGCCAAAACTTGGCCCTTAATTGCTGTTCTCGGCCTGAACTCCAGGTCATACTGGCTCAAGGCCACTGCCCATCTTGCTATTCTTCCAGTTAAGTCTCCTTGTTGTAACAAGGACTTCAGTGGGTGCTCTGTTAACACTATAATCTTGTGCGCTTGAAAGTAATGGTTCAGCTTCTTTCAAGCCATTACTAAGGCCAGCATTAATTTCTCTAGTGGTAGGTACCTTGTTTCTGCATTGGCCAAGGTTTTGCTTACATAATAAACAACCTTTTGCTCCCATTTTTCCTCTCGGATTAGCACTGCACTTACTGCGTATTCTGAAACTACTAAGTACAAAAACGGTTTTTCCCCAGGTTCAGGTGTTGAGAGGACTAGAGCCGTGGTCAGATATTTCTTTAGGTCGGCCAAAGCGGCCTCATATTCCTCAGTTCATAGGAAGTCTGTGGCCTTCTTCACCAGGTTGAAGAGAGGTTTACATTTGTCTGAGCTTCGGCTTATGAACCTGTTTAGGGCCGCGACCCTTCCAGTAAGCATCTGAACTTGTTTTGCTGACGTTGGGCTTTTCAGCTCTAAGATGGCCTTGATTTGATCTGGGCTGGCCTCAATGCCCTTTCTTGTTACCAGGTACCCCAAGAACTTACCTGATCCAACTCCAAACGCGCACTTCGATGCGTTGAGTCGGAGCCAGTATGTTTTGAGTATATCAAAGACCTCTTTTAGGTCGGCAAGATGACCCTTAGATTCCTTAGTCTTCACGACCATGTCATCGATGTAGACCTCTACTGTTTGGCCAATCAAGTGTTTGAACATCTTGGTTACCAACCTTTGGTAAGTTGCTCCTGCGTTTTTCAACCCAAAAGGCATTACCTTGTAACAGTACAACCCTTTCGGGGTGATAAACGCTGTCTTCTCCTCATCTGGGGGGTACATGGCTATTTGGTGGTATCCCCTGTAAGCATCTAGGAAGCTCATCTTCCATGTTCAGATGTGGCGTCTACCAACTGGTCCATCTTAGGTAGAGGAAAGCTGTCTTTGGGACAAGCTTTGTTCAGGCTTGTAAAATCTACGCAGACCCTTCATTTACCATTCTTTTTCTTTACTACCACAGTGTTTGATAGCCATGTCGGATAATTGACTTCTCTGATGGCCCTAGCCTCCAGAAGTCTGTCTACTTTCTCCTCCACTGCTTCGACGTGCATCAACGTCGTCCTCTGGCTCGTTGTATTATTGGTTTGGCTGTTCTGTCAACGTCCAATTTGTGGCATGTGACCTCGGGGTCAATGCCAGGCATTTCATAAGGCGTCCAAGCGAACACCTCTATGTTTGCTCTCAGAAAAGTTTCCAGTTCTCTTTCTTCTTCTTCAGCTAAGCCGAGCCGACAAGAAAGAAGCGTTCTTCATCATCTTCCTAGACGAGGACTTTCTTCAGTGCTTCTTCACTCTTCGTGGCTGGCTCATTACCGACATCCTCTAGGACTTCTCCGGTTCTTGAATGTTGCAGGTGGATTTCATTGCTGCCATGGAGCAATTCTTTGCCTGCAGTTGATCTCCTCTGACTTCTTCAATCCTATGCTCTGTTGGGAACCGTAGTAGTTGATGCAACGTTGAGGGAACTGCCCCCATTGCATGCAACCATGGCCTTCCCAAGATGCTGTTGTATGGCGAGGGCGTGTCAATCACCATGAATTCTGTTTTGTTTTTCTTAGTGTCGGCTTGTACTTCCAAGCTTGTTGCACCCAGTGGCCACGTCGGCGTTCCATTGAAGCCGACCATCGGGCCATTGGACTGCTCCAAGTCATCAGGATGAAGGCCCAGCTCCTTGTAATATCTAACATACATGATGTCACAAGAGTTGCCTTCATCAATCAGGATGCATTTCACTTGGCACTCCCCAACCTGGAGGGATACTACCAAGGCATCATTATGTGAATGCTGGACCATCTCTAGGTCGGCTTCAATAAAGGCTATCGTCGGTCCCTGGCATTCTTCAGGCCGAAGTCTTTTATGTCTGACCTGGTTTACGTGTTGTAGGTGTTTTACCTTCTGGGTCTCCCCTCGTATGTCGTTTTCGTTCACCTTTGAGTGAATTATATTAACCACCCGTGGTCCTCCTGCCTGTGGTTGCTGTGTTGGGGGAGGCGGAGCTACTGGTGCTTAAGGCAATCTTGC